GGACGAAGTCGCGAAACATGGAATTTCGTGTGTACACATCTGGAACGAACAAACCTTACCCTTGTCGTGTCCTTCAAATCCCGTTCGATGAAATATAAGTATCGTTTATTTAATCTATTCTGTTTCACGGTCGATATGCAGCGACGTCTGGACCATCCGTACTCTGCACGGCTATGCGTACAGAAAATTAACTAGCTATTATTTTTATACCTTGGATTCTGTTAAGAAACTGTTCAAGAAATCTCGTCAATTAGCGACCACGTTAGGATATCATAAAATTAAATATTAAATTAAATCTTGGAAGAATTATTGTTCAAGACTTGGCACAAAATGGAGATACTTGTGCTATTTGATGTAAAGCTGATATAATAAAGTTGATATAAAATGAAACTAATTTTAACAATAATAATAATACATTTATCTGTCTGTATAAAATATTCAAGACTTTTAACTAGCAACAAAATAATGTTCAGTGTTCATTAAATTACGTCAGTCAATCAAGTAAAATTACCACATAAATTAATAAGAACATTCAATTTGTCTTTTCAAGAATCAAAAAATGATTAAAAGAAAAATAAAAAATATACATTAAGCCTACAATTGAAGCCCACCCAAGAAGTCTTACAGGAAACATTGTATTATAAACCTGATGTATAATTTCAATTACCATTTCGTACCGACTTATCCAACATAATTCCGCGATTTCTGGAATGGCGCAATGAAAAATTTTATTGCACTCATAATCAATCAAAACACCACTCTTGCGCTGTAAACAACCCGTGCTCTGAACAGCTTCTACGAAAGTAATCCTCTGAAAACTCATGGCTGTTATAATTTCGTTCGAACACGAACGTCCATATGGTCTTATTAAACGTTTCGGTGGGTAAATTCAAATGGGCCGCGGTTCATTGCGGCCGATATCCGATTACAAGATCAAAGATGCTATTATGCGAGCGGGAAACGGAAACGAACGAAGAACTAAATATGTACTTATCCGAGATTGTCATTGAACACGAACAGTCCCAGAATGTTGGACGAGGGATCGAGCTGGAATCCCATGAAGTGAAATTGCGACAATAAATTTCGTTAGATGAAAGCGTGATCATATCTGATAATAACCAGCACCATAAACACAGCATCCAATCCGCCAATTATCGTTTTGTAGCTCTAAGAAACGCACACACCCGCGTAACACGCACGCTTCGGAAATAAGAGGAGAGGAACGTATCATGGCGAGACTGTGGCAAAAATCAACTACTGTTTCATTGATGATTTTCAAAATGTTTAAATGAAGTTGTTCACTGATTTTTTATGTAATTTTATTGAAAATAACAAGTTGAGTGATATACTAGTAAAAGTCTGAGAATAGTAAGTTATAAGGTGTTTCATGCGCTATTTTGAATTATTTCTTCAATTTCTTAAGTTCAATATTTATTAATTTTTTGAAGATACATTAACTTGAACATTTGAAGTTAAAAGTATTGTATAGAAGTGAATAAATGTATATATATATACATATATACAAGCATGCACACATTGATGTAGGTATACATATATGCATACATGCATACGTACATGCACACATTCATGCATACATACATGCATACACACATGCATACATATGTACACATACATGTACACACATGCATACATATTTACTCATACATGTATACATTCATGCATACATACATGCATTAATACATGCATACATATATGCATACATAAAAGCACACATGCATGCATACATACATGCATATATACATATACATTTACTCACTACATACATATTTATCATACATAAATATATGTATATGTACACATTCATATATAAATAAATTAATGTAAAAATTAAGAACTTAAAACATTTAATTCCATCTCAAATATCGAATAGCCGTGTACACTTACAACAATCTCCAATAACCTCATCACTACATACATAGCACGCTTCATATCAATGTCCACAAGTTCCATGGACCTGTCCACCATTGCTCCGTACTTACACGCGATTACACACCAGGAATATCTTTCAGCATTACCGATATAAACAAAAAAGTAAATAAATTCTTCAAGATGTATGAACATGCAACCAATAACATGATATCGACATTGTAGGATTTATAAATGACATGACATGTATATACGAATAGTTTTCGTCGTTCATTAACTGACCGATTGGATAATATCTTCCTGAATCCATTGATCACGTCTCTCTTACATAGCTCAGCCACATTTATCTGATCAGTTAAACCAGCTTTGTCGCACTGGTTTTCACCGAGATGGTCATTCGTTATTTAACCAGGAATACGACATTAGCACGAGATCATAATAACGTTTCTGTTCCAGTTGCTTTATGTTAGCGGAGTGACAGAAGCAGCAGCAAGACGAGACGGTAATTTGACGCCATTAACCACGTCCCTGCAGGACTACTTAATCCGTATGAAACTTTGATTTCCATAATTAGATGACGCGATAGAGAAAACGGGAAGTGGACGCACATTCGATTCGCGAGAATGAATTCCACGATGTCGATAATTATTGGTTTTGTTTGTTGATCGGTGCAATTCCGTACTATACGTTAAGTCTGAACGTATAATATGAAATATGTTAAACTATTGCATATTTAATGATCCGTTTTGAAACGTGTAAGATCAGACATGATCTAACCAGATAAAGTATGATGTATACAAGCATTTGTACGGTATTAACTTCAGGCCTTAAACTGAGTAAAAATGATTATGTAAACCGTTCATTATTACTTTTCAGTAGGCGAACAGTTAGCTGTTCGTTATATGGTTATTTCAGTTACGTTAAAAATATATGTTAGGATTTTATTATGGTAATGGCAATAAGGAAATATTTTCAATAAGCAACGATTTTTTAGATATGGGGTGTTTTTTAGAAGCTTGAAGGCAAATCATGTGATGCCACAAATCTGCAATGTTTTGAGGATGAGAACCAAATGTTTTTGAGAATGAAATGTTTTTTGGTAACTTGGTTACTGAACAAAATTGTTATTTATTTAGGTTTAGTGCAATAGGAGGATTTCATAGGTTGGGAATTTAGAGATTTAAAAAATTCAGAATTTGGAGATTTAAGAATATGTGAATTTGAGAATGTGAAAAATTAAGAGTTTGGAGATTTGGAGATTTAGAACTTGAAAATTTGGTCATTTTGGTGATTTGAGAATCCGGTAATTTGGGGATTAAGTAAAATGGGGAAAGTTGATAACTTAAAGACTCGTGAAATTTGTAAAATATGTATAGTAAACAGTAATATTGCACTTTATAACTGTAAATGCCAGTTTCTGTCCAGACATTTCCACAAATGACCCATGTTGCACAGCATCGAACATACCCACAAATACTTAGCGACGATCAACCAAAGATTTGATCGGCAATAATTCTCCTTCCAAACAAAAAAAAATAATTAATACATCGTGTAATAAGATTTCAATTACATGTATCCAACTTGTACTCGAGTAGCAGTTTAAAAAAGGAAAAAACTTTGAGGCAAACTCAATAGTTCAGCAACCGTCAGCTATCCTTTCCTTTACTCGTACAATTAGTAGCCGACAAATAATTACGTAATTCACCCACCATAGCTGTAGGTGGCGAAACGTGAAAATTTATTTGATGATAGCTGAGATAGCCGTTAACAGCTCTAGCTGGAGATTGTGGAGTCTTATCTTCTGGACGATCGATAAACCTGCTGTGAAATGAACTCGAGAAAATTTTAACTGCGCACGGTTCGACTATAATTGTCTTTAATCGTTATCAGGATGCGGTAAATAAACATGATTTCACGTTAGAGTTAAATATGTGAAACACGGCTCGGTGAGACAGGCATGCAAATATATTTAGCAAGAATATTTCACATTATTTTTGCAATAATATAGGATAATAAATAGGCAGGTCGGGTAAGATATTTCGTTACGAAAAGAAGATTTTTAATTCGTGTAGAATAGTATGCCGTTGTAGAACGTATCGTTAAATTACTGTGAAGTTATTACAAGTATTGTAAAATCGCATAAACGTCGTTCAATGATATTCGGTCGATTTCGTTGATTCAGTTTTATATTGGACTATGAAAGTAAACGAAGTACGAGTCGGATTAGTGGAGGTTGCGAGGTTAAAATTTTATGAATTGATATTAGGAATTTAGGGATTTAACAATTTGCGAACATCGGAATTTAGGGATTTGAGAAGTTTGGAATTCGGCAATTTGGGGAATTGAAAATTTGGAAAGTGGGAAATTTGGGGATTTGAAGATTTGAAAATAGGAAAATTTGGGTATTTGAAGATTTGAAAATTGGAAAACTTGGGGATTTAAAAATCTGGAAATTGGAAAAATTGGGAACATAAGAATTTGGAATTTGAAAATTTGGGGATTTGGAAATTCGGGGTTTGAAAATATGAGAATTTGGGAATTTGGAATTCGAAAATTTGGGAATTTGGGAACTTGAAAATTTGGTAATTTAAAAATTTGAGAATTCATAAATTATAGAATAGAATAAAACGGATACATGTATACTATACATGGGAACACATAAAACATTGAACTCGAAATTAAAACCACGGAAAATCCTTCCAATTAATAATTCACTTTTTAATTAACAATTTTTGTGACACATAATCCTTTTAATAAGGAGCTTTCATATATAACAATGCGAATAAACAATTTCTATGATACATAACAGTTGTAGTAAGCAATTTTTATGTGTAACCTTTTTGGTTGGATTAATTTACAAATATTGTTTAAACGAAGTAACGAGAATTTGTGTCTATAATTAATAAATAAAAATAATAAAAAATACAAAAACGTATAAAATGCATAAATATTCAAAATATTTTAACGTTTGACGTTAAAGTATTTTGCAACATGAATTATCGCTTATGTTACAATAATTAACAGCAATAAAAAACAAAATACAAAAATAAATAATTAACAACGCAAATAATATATAATACAATTTTAGAAATTGTTGTGAACTCGTGATGGCTTTATCGTATATTAAAATATTTAAATTCTTTGAAATTTTTTGTTGTAATCTTTTTAGCTTCCTGAGGTTTAGGTTTCTTCTTCTGTTTCAGATGATATTGGTATTCGTTACCGAAAAAATTGTATATCGTTACCGACTCGTTGGATTGAACAGCTGTGAAAAATACAATTTGTGATTAACTTTTTTTCTAGGTTGTTATTAAATTGTAGACTTTTAGATATATTTTATTAAATATTTGAAAGTGTAACTTCAATTCGCATATTTCATATTAAATTTATATTCATTATAAAATTACGGTTAAATAAATTACTTTTCACTTAATTGCAAAATTACGTGCAGTTAAATTCCATTTACATTAATTTAAAAATGACATGCAGTCAGATTTCATTTAAATACATTTGCTATACATTTCAATTAATTGTAAAATCACATGGGGTTATGGTTTCAAAGTACATTTAATTAGATTTCATTTACATTCATTTTCAAATTACATGCAGTTAGATTCCACTTAAGTTAAATTTCAAATTACATTCAAGTACATTGAAATAAATATATACATTCAAATACATTAAATAATTTAAATAAATTGTATTTACATTCAGGTATATAACACGTAAACTAATTGCTAAATTACAATTCATAATCACATCTAAATCAACTATATTACATATACTTACATTACATTTAAATTAATTATTTAATCACAGTCCATTACATTACATTAAAATTAATCGTAGATCTACGGCTAAAATACTTGATCCATTATGCCACCTGATGTCAATCACTTTCTTCCACTCTTATAAAATCCTAGTAGACATCTCACAATTCCAGCGTTACAGTATGCTCATATCACTTATCACTGTCCCGATAACGACGTTTCACCAATGAAACCAAAGTGAACGAAACGATTGTGACTTACCTATTTGCGTGTGATCGAAATTCCACAGAATAGTGTCTACCCGCGTCTCCTTATCAATTGGTATCACATCTACAATACGATCTAGACTCGCAAACACGGGAATGATGGTATAACGATTCTGTCTTTCCCGATACGACCAATGAACAACCAGCTCTCCACTGTGCTTATTCCAAGCCAAGTTCTCTACGGCACCGTGAAACTTAACGAGACGATAACTCAAGGCATCAACCTTGTTCACGTTCCAGAGCAACAGGGACCCGTCGCCTATGCCGCCTCCTATGCACAAACAGTCGCCATCATGCGGGTGCCAAGCCAACGCCTGCAATATATTTATTGCAAAACTGTTTAATACATATTTATGCGCTCAAAACGAAAGATTATTGTAAAACTGGCAAATGCAGACACTTGCACATGAAAAGATATTTATAAAGCACAAGAAATTGAAAATATTTGCACTGGCCGCTCGATAATTGCCTGCTGGAGAGGCTTTAGGGTGGATCTTTCTAATGGTGCGTTTAGACTTTGGTCTAAAATCTGTACATTTTACTTTTATAATATTGGGTTATAAGTGGATTCTTGTTAATGGATGAATTAGGAGTAAATTCTTGTTAATGGACGAATTAGGAGTGAATTCTTGTTAATGGATGTCTCGTGAGTGAATTCTTGTTAGTAGATGAATTGTAAATGGATTTTGATTAATGGATGAATTATAAATACATTCTACTGGTATCTGATAACTGCTAGATTAGGTGGTTAATACAGAAGTTAGTTTTGTGTAATTCAATTTGATACATTTAAATTCGATGCGCTACTATTTGACGACTATTCATTCAGTGCATTAGAATTTGGCCCAGTTCACGCGTCAACTAAATATAAACATTAAAAATTTAAGAATAACTGACCCTTTTAGACAGATTATAAAATAATTAACACAATGACAATTGGATTTTAACGTTATGAGTATTTTTTCAAGGGAACAGTAAGGAAATATTCGCCATATTGATTTAAAGGAAGTGTAATTTCACCTGGCGGTAAATTCAAATGCATTGTTTGTGTGACAACATAAACAAAACTTACTTTAACAGGTCGGTAGTAGTAAACGCTCAAAAACAGAGTTAGGCTTGGCCATAAAAAGATATGAACATCCATATCCAACCCAGATGATGCGAGATATCGATAACTATTTGAAAACGCCATTGTGACCAGAGCTTGCGTATGTGCATTTGTCGAGTCAACAAATTTACCATCTTTCGCTAAATAAACCGATATCATTCCTTTGCAACCTCTGTTGAAAAGAATAAAATACATTCATATCAAATTTAAATGAATTTCTGAATGAAACCTTTCAATTTCTAAATGATTAAATTGTCAATTGTTTTCAAATATTCAATATTTACGTGCTTGAATATCCTATCTTTCAAATTTCATATTTTAAAATTTTAAAATTGCAAATTTTTCCATATTCCATATTCCCAGTTTTATATAACTAAATGCTGATATTCCTAACTTTTATGTACGCGAATTCGCAAATTAACCAATCTTTATGTACTCAAATTTTAAACATCTCAAATATCCAAATCTTAAAATTGCAAGGTCTCAAATTTCCTGAGCTTACAACTTGGAAAATCTCAAATTTCTTAACACTAAAATTTCCAAATTTGAAACTTCTCAAGTCCTATAATTTCTAAATTCTCAAATTCCCAAATCTCAATGTTTATATATTCTAAAATTTTCAGATAAAAAACGTATTCACATTCTGAAACTTCCAAATCTCAAAATTTCTAAAATCCCAAGTTGTAAATCCCAAAATTTCTTATTTCTCAAATTTCCAAATCCCCAAATTGTCAAATTTTCTAGTTTCCAAATTCCTAAATGTTCAATTCCCAAAATTTCTAAACCCCTATGTTTCCAAATCCCAAATTCTCAAATTTCCAAATCCCAAAATTGTCAAATTCTCAAATTTCCAAATCAAAAAATTCTCAAATTCCTAAATGTCTAAATAACATGCACTATTCATTCTACACACTCTGTTAACTTAATTATTAAAGATCAGTCGCTACTTGTCCTGGATATAATTGAGTAATTGTATATCACGAACAGGATCAAACAGACTTAACGAAATATATAGCGCATTAATAACATTTATCAAGCCTAATCGTGTCAGATCGCAATAAAACGCAGGTAACAAACAGGAATAATAAATAGCAATCGACATCGTTTGTATTTATATATCCTGCTTACGCAACAGTGGCCACGTTCGAATAGATACTCACGTAACAATGTGTTGATCATTTTGCGACCAACACGCACAGCGTGTATAACATGGCGTATTAAACATAGTTACGCTTCTACATTTATGTGCCCATATAATTTTGTGCTTCTCTACGGAGTACATTTTGATTTCCGAAGACAATGTGCACATGACTAATTTGTCCCCTGTTAAGAATACAAAATATTCCTGTTAAACATTATTTCATTTTTGATAATTTAGGTTAAACATTTAGCATGTTCAAACTGTTCTGATCTTTCTCAAAGATGGAAAAAAATTATTTTCATTTTTTTTAATGATGATTAAATATTGCTTTAGTTCTTGTGGATAATGATTGAACATTATCTTGATTTCTTCAAATGATAGCTGAGCGCTAGCTTCATTCGTTTACGGGATGATCGACTAATTTATTTATTTTTAATAATGCATAAATATTACTATATATATTCTTAATAATGCTTAAACGTTATTTTGGCTTCCAAAAAAAATTACAGCGTAAATAGTATTTAAGACACAGTGTCCTTCGTACCAGCATTACTCCATTTCAATAAGCAAATATTAGCTGCATTAAAATTCTGCAGTGTTTCTACTATTTGAGACCCACTGTTGTCGTAAAACATCACTGAATCTTGAATCTTTGTTGCGATCACGTTCCTTGAACTCCAGTCTATGAGATGACGACATCCTTCAAAAATTCAAAACACATTATTTTAAACATCAAGCCCTGCATTCGATTAATTCCAGATTTGTTGAGGTGGAACATTTTTGAAATCACGAGGTGATTTTAGTTTCCTTTAATGAAACAATCTACTCTTAATTATCGTAAACTTGTAATATGTTCGACTTTGACAGTCATTCAAGGTCACTTACAATTGTTAAATTTTTAAAAAATATTAAACTTACCTCAACTTATCTAGAATTGAATTAATTTCATAGTTGAATTAAATTATATATTAATGTGGGATCCTATTTGCTTGACTGAATCTTCCTAAAGGATATTTCAGGTTGAGGATCCTCGAAAATAAAATAAAACTAAAGATGAAGGTGAATAATCGACACACTGAATATGAATAATAAATGTGTATATATATTTAAAAGAACAATTAACGTTGTGAATGCTTTCGATGCTGGACAAAGACTGTCCGTGCTACGCGCCCTGTTCGGCGTTCTTTCTCCCGTCGATCGTATTTTGTCTTAACATAATTTTTCCATTACACTATGTGGGATCCTATTTGTTTGACTGAATCTTCCTAAAGGATATTTCAGGTTGAGGATCCTCGAAAATAAAATAAAACTAAAGATGAAGGTGAATAATCGACACACTGAATATGAATAATAAATGTATATATATATTTAAAAGAACAATTAACGTTGTGAATGCTTTCGATGCTGGACAAAGACTGTCCGTGCTACGCGCCCTGTTCGGCGTTCTTTCTCCCGTCGATCGTATTTTGTCTTAACATAATTTTTCCATTACACGTGTCGCACGCTTCACTCCCCACACTCGGCCATACCTGCAAATTCTTCGGTCTCCGAAGAGAATTCTTTAAACGGTTTCATATAGTCTGCCGCGGTTGTGGTAATGCTCGGTCCTTCACCTTTGCCAACACGAATCACTTCATACCGATTATTTCCCTTAAAACTAGACACTTTATACGGTCCTAAATATTTCTTCTGAATTTTTAATCCGGTTCCAAATTGAGTACGCTTTATCGCAACTAGATCGCCTTCCTGATACACAGTCGCTTTCTTACATCTACGATTATAATTACGCCGATTCTCTTCCTGTACCTTTAACAAATTTTCTTTCGCTGTTTTTCTTAATTCTACGCGCTCATCAACGAATTGAGCTATCGCTTCTTTTCGTATTAATTCTAACAGTACAATATCGTCGCGTTGCTTCATCTTTAAA